AGCTATGTGGCAAGGAAAGAAAAGAGAAAAGACAAGACCTTCTAAAGCTCCCATTCGTATCACTTGATACATGTAAACACCATTTGTTCAATCAACCACACAACAGGCAATTCCTGCCTGTGGGATGGAGTTTGATAAGTAAAAACAGAGCAGAGTGTTCCAAACACTCTTGGGAAAAGGGCCTGGTGTATTCAAAGAAAAATACACAGTGTGCAGCACATATGAGGTGCAGGGGGGTCAAAACATATGTGATTATGAACAGTAGCAAATGAGGAAATGGTGAAGGCTGGTGAAGATCCACTACAGTGCCCAGGCTGCAGTGGGAAAAGGAACCCACTTGATGGACATATTAGAAAATCCACAGGGAAGGTGAAACGTTGCCATTTAAAAGCAGCTGTTTCAGAGTACAGCATGGCTTTCCAACTAGTCCTTCAAAAAGAGGTTCTCCAGGATAGACTATGAGCTGCCAGTTTCACACACTGCAGAGACCAGACAGCAGACCACTGGATGCTCATGGAACAGAGAGCCACCGAGCAAGCTGACCAATCCGTCGCCATGGCCACCTGTCTACTCCTAGTATCTGTAGCTGCTGCTCTTGAGTAGCTTCTGCTTCTCAGGGTCCCTATGATGACCTGTGTTTTGTTTCTGGTATCAAACTGGACCAGCATCCAGGGAGTGAACTGCTCGAGAGAAAGCCAGGAAAGAGCGAGCACTCCAGTGGCAATGGGAAGGATCAAGGCCAGATCAAAGAACAGAATCTTTTCTCCAGAAAAGTATTGAGAACATTCTCGCAACCCAAGGTCAATCAAGAACCATTCCATCAGAGCAAGGGATCTTTTCAGTGTTTGCCCAAGGGGTCATGACATCCATTAGGGTACCACGTAATACAGATGCTCATGTGAACTATACAGTACCATGACACTGCAGACACCAGAAACAGTTACCCACCACAGGTCTGTCTACATCAAACTAGGGGAATTATTTCTCAACTCTTTCCTTCATTCCCCAAAAGTGGGATTAGAGAGGTTAGGAAAATCAGAGGCAGGACTCTTGACACCCTTTTCAATAGTGTATCAGCAGAGACAATCATTCTCTAACAAAGAAAAAAAACATCCCCCAGCCCTCATTTCCTCACACTATCCTGCTTTTCATGCCCCAATTGCACTTGGTGTCTCCTGGGAGTTACTGAAGTATACCTGTTTTGTTACTAATCCCTTTCATGGTGACAGACCATCTTGAACATAGATAGCCTACTTGACAGAGAGGCCAATGGCTTATAATAAGTCCTTGTAGTTACATTAAGAGAGAGGCAATTTCTTATATGACAATTGTTAAGCTCTTCAAATTGCGATTAAGATTTCCCTCGATTAGGCTGTGCCCCAGGGGCAAAACCTCTTGGCAGCTCAGCACCACATACAGAAATAAAAACTTGTAAACAAATGCTACAAGTGAACACAGACCAAAAAGAAAGACTGACATAAAATACACAGGCAACAAAACCTTAAGTGAGAACAGCCTTACAAATGAGGAGAGCATCTCCTTTGAGTGGGAGTGCGGTCTCATCTGGACGGCGGAGGGGAAGATGACACAGCACATCATTTCATGGGCTAGTCAAGAACGCTCTGGTATAACTAACTTCACAACTGTATAAACTGTGATGCATGCCCTTGGCCTTCAATAGAACCCGGTCTTAGTTATTCATGAAGAGTCACCACAAGGTGGAAGACAGGCTAAGAGGAAAGCTGAAGAGTGTCCACACCCATGTCTTCATGTTCTAAGACTAGTAAAGGGCGAATCACTTTATCTACATGAGCAGAAACAGCCATGAAAATGGATAAAGAACTGTAATTACTGTTTCTTAGGTAATAAGCTGAAGCAGAACTTGATTATATTTGCAACAATCAAGACCAGAGACATTCTGTCCTGTTTCCATGAGAAATGCTTTTAAGGAGCTGAGTGGAGGGTCATGTATTCACGCAGAGTCTGAACTCCCATCAGCTTTGCTAACACAAACAGTTTCAGAAATCTACAGCGTGCCACCATCAGGATGGGAAACCAAGGACACAGTTCCTCCCAAATCACCCTACCCTCCTTCCAGAACATTTTAACACTCTTCGATGGAGGGAGAAAGGTTGGCAGTTTGCCAGAGTTCAATTCAGGCTGTAACATGGAAGACAGGACCAAAGGTGGCAACACACACAAGAGCACTCACTCTACCGCTTCCCAGGCATGTTCCCAGGAGGAAAATGTCTTCCTCTGCCATTGACTTCTGAAGTAAATTAAAAAGTTTTTTTGACATAAATATTTCATCTTTCCTTAAACTGAATCTAGTAAGCAGCTCCAATGAGAGGCACTTAATGGACCTAGGATTGCGGGAGACAAGGAACTGATTTTTGGATTAACTACAACTATTCTCATGTCTATAGAACAAATGTGTACAGACCTCGGCCCTGACCTGCAGACCCTGACACAAAGGGAGCAGATGCTAACATAAACAGGTACACAAATGTAACCATGTGACATCAGGAACCAGGTAACATCAGCCATGTTAGAAAATCCAAAAGAGCCCATTTAAATTGTGAGGTAGAAAAATATCTAATAAAATGGAAAGATGTTCCCAGTATACCACTAAATAGGTTACCATACAAGCATCTAGAGACAGTTCTATTTTTGTAAAGAAATGTGTGTGTAGGTGTGTGGACACAACTATGAGTACATATTCATTTTGGAAAAAACAACAATAACAGAAAAACAAAGAACCTTGACAAGATTATAACAAAATCTCAACAGGATTTTGGGCAGGATTACGAATGATTTTTATTTTCTTCTTTTGCTCATCTGTATTTTGTAAATTTTCTAGAATTGCGTTACTTTGGTATGAGAAAAATTAATTTTACATTTTAAAATTAATTGAAACATAAGCACACTGAGCAGCCTAAATGTGGCCTGTTTCTCCCCCTCCCCTCCCTGAAACACCTCCTCGGGAGTTCCCTATGCCAATCCCTGCGATCCACAGATGTGACTAGGTCCTCGCTTCTATTCTACAGTGAAGGTCTGATAACCATGCACGAGCGATACATTCAAAGGCAGGAAAGTCACAGTCAGAGCACTTCTCTCTACCTGGGCGTAATGTAAGAGCTTCTCAGTAGCCTGGGGGTCTTTGTTCCAGATGAGATCTTCACAGAGCTGGAGCAGTTCCTTGTGGATGTCGTCATACACGGGGAGGTTCCCAGCATTCACTATCGCCATGTCCATACCAAACTAAGGGCAACACAGAGGACAGTGAGGATTTCCAGCAACACTCTACATCAGGGGTCAGCAAACTTTTTCTGTAAAGGGCCACACAGAAAATAGTTCAGGCCATGGTCTCTGTCGCCACAACTTAGCCCCGCTGCTGTATATAAAATCAGCACAGACAATAGGTGAGTGAGTGGCTGCTCTGCTCCAGTCAGTCTTATTCTCAGAAACTGGCAGCAGGCCAGAGCTGTTCTGCGGGTTTGCACTGGCCTGCCCAGGTAAAAGTTGGTCTAGAGGAAGGTGTCCCACCTACCCGGATTGCGTGGTAAAGGAAAACGCTGTGCATGGCTTCCCGAACGGCTTCCATTCCTCGGAAGGAGAAGGACAAGTTGGAAAGCCCGCCGCTTATTTTGGCTCCAGGTAACGTTCGCTGGCAAAAATAAAAAGGTGAAAAGATTCCCCTGTTTTACCAAAAGCATCAATCACATCCCTTAAGCTTTATATAAAAGAGTATATAAAAGAGTGGAAAGTAAAAAAGCACATCAAGTTCCAGGTTCCCATCACACCTTATAACAACGTCAAGCATCTCTGCAGAACTGCTGCTGAAGCACAAACTAGCTCAAGCATTAAGGACACAGCCGCCATCACTGCGACCACCCAGCCATTCCACTTCCAGCTTCTGTTGTAGACACGCACATGCGCCTGAGACACACATACGGGAATGTTCACAGCAGCACTGTCACCATGTCCAAAACCCGGAACAAATCACGTGTCTACCAACAGCAGAGCAGTTAACTATGGAACAGTTAGACAATGGAATATCATACATCAATACAAATGAAGAAAGCACAGCTTCAACTACACGGACGAATCTTTAAAAGGGAGTTGGGTAAGGAAAAAGGCATGGGAGTCTTAGTTTTATTTCTATTACGCTCAGAAACAGGAAAAACTCAACTATTTGTGGTGATTACGTGCTATCAGGTCACCACAAACACTGAATCAGGAAACACCGAAAACCACTGCCCCGAGGAAATACAGGGTGAGGTTCCTGGGAGCCTCTGCTTATAAAATTTTCATCAACTGATCAATACATAACCTTGTCTTATGTGTGTTTCCATTTAAAGACACTTGTTTAATATATACTGTTGATTCACCAACCTTGAGCTCACAGCCAGCAGCACTACAACTCATGTCTAAACAAAGCTTCTCTAACACGTGTTTTCTCCACAAGGCACCTCCCAGCCTTCCTGGTCTTCGGGGCACAGATAACACTGCAGCCCTACACTGGGCGGCCACTTACAGAGAAAAACCAATCACCGAGAAAAAGCTCGAAAACTGAAAAGCGTAGCACTAAACAGACATGAACGGGACACTTGTTTACAGAACGAGCACCGAGACAAGAGTAGCGCGTCCTGGTTGACTGCATCTGGGAAAAGGCGGGTGGGGACACTGCACAGGGGTGTGTCCAGGAAGGATGGCAAAGGCCCCATGAATATTGATTTGGGGTCACAGATAAACTTTAGGAGTAGGTGAATATGCAAGTACAGAATCTGTGGGTAATTCAGATTGCATAAATGAAAGTGATAGAAGTTATAAAGAAAAGCAACGAAACTCAGGATGAGGGTGTAATCAGAAGGGAGAGAAGCAGGGCACTAGCCATGTTCTATCCAGGACCTAAATGAGAGCTTTATATGCCTTGTAATTAATTATTATACTCTATATTTTTATATATTCTGCAGTGTGTGTTATATTTCAGTTTAAAATAACATAAATGTAATACAGGACCCTTAATTCCAGAAAACCAAATTGCTACCTAAAAGCAAGAATGTCACATTCCCAGCCAATAAATACATATACATGACAGTTCAAACTAGTCAGCAGAGCCACACAGTAAATGTGACGACGTCTTGTGTAGAAGAGAGAAATTGCCCAGACTCACTTTAATGACTTTTGTTGCATTGATAAAATTAACAGCATACAAGTTGTGCTCTTCCATCCCAGTACCAATGGTGAGGATGTTAGGGTCAAATATGATGTCATTTGGATTGAAGCCCAGTTTTTCCACAAGTAGATGGTAGGCCCGGGTGCACACTCTGATTTTGTTGTCCGTTTCTGTCGCCTGGAAAAAGGAGCACGTGATTGCAATTTAAGTAGAAAAATTAAGTGCTATCTTCGAAAACAGAGGCACATTGGTACTGAAGTGCCAATGCTTGAATTTCATAAAAATCCAAATACCAGGCAGCCTCTAAACGTTTATACAATTATCTCAGAGGAGGAACTGGTGCAAAGGCTACATGTTCTCACCAGCACAACAGCTACACTGCCTCTGTAAAAATCAAATCTTAAAAGCACATATGTGGTATATTAATAAATAGACTTCTACAAAATACACACACGTGATAAAGACTCAAACCCTACTAAAGAACAAGTTAAAAATAAGTGTCCTCCCTCCTTACCCCACCCACCCAGGCAACACTGCCAGAGGTCTCCTGGATCTTCCTGCAGGAATATTCCATGAGGCTTCCACGGTATGTATGCATTCTCCACCTCCACCCTACCCACCACAACAGCAGACAGTTAACATGTGCCTTAAGTCATAGCATAAATTAATTAGTATGGCTCTTTAGAGTAGTGACCTGGAAAGGACAGCATTCACTGCAGCAAGGCTCAAAACCCCAGCTGCTTCCCTCCCATCTTCCTTAGCATCAGGGCCTAGGAGATCTTCCATTTCATTTCCCATTGTGTGCCCCTCATTTACTCCCCTCTCCCACACTGCTCCTTTGTGTCCCAGGATGAATGACAGAGAAAGATAGAGACAGAGACAGACAGACAGACAGGGAGGTATGCCGACTGCACACTGTGCTGTGACTCCTAGAAGATAACTGATACCCAGGCTTGGAGTCTGGGGACCAAGAGAAACTCATGTTCCTTGTGTCCCTGCCATAAACTGCCACCTCTGAGGGAAATCTGGTTAAGTCTGTTTCTTACACATAAAGAATTTAAAATAGAATACATCTAATATGGAAAGCCCAAGGATAGGAACACTCAATCATGAAACCTTAGCCAGGGAGTGGTGATCTCCCTGTAGCCCCTCCAAAGGAGGCCCCTGAAATGCAGAAACATATGTCGGACTTTCACAAAGTTCAGAGGGGGTCAGAGGAGGAAATGTGAGCATCAACTCCTAGGCTTGGGTCAATTACCTTTAGCAAGTCAAAACAAAGGGCAAACTAAGAACTACTGTCTTCAGTTCCCTAGACTATTTGTAATAACTATGGTACATACCCTACTGGGGAACATAACACATTCACTGAAAAACAGCATCAATTTATCTAAATTCAATGAAAAGACTGGCTATGAAATAAAAATGTAAAAAATCACTACTGAAGGAAAAATATATTCGAAAGAAAACATAAGCCAGTCACAATGACAAAACAACACAAAGAACCCGGGAACGATCTTGAGCTTCCCTAGTTAAGGAAAATATAAGATGTGACTGAATAGCAGCAAGATACCAAAACTGAATTTTAGTCAGCATCCCAGTGGGGCTTTATTTTTCCATAAACTGGAAAACTATTTTCAAATAACTTTAACATAGGAAAATGTGTGAAATATAATGAGTGCATTATAGAATGGTTATTCTTTTATGTAACTTACACAGGTACAAACAAAAGAGTAATATAGTCCATTCTGCTATTATGTGATAATTTTAATTCTAGGAAACCTTATCAAAAATTGTCATGCAAGCCCTGACTGTGTGGCTTAGTTGGTTGGAGCTCCATCCTATACACTGAAAGGTTGCGGGTTCGGTTCCTGATCAGGGCACATACCCACATACCGAGGTTGCAGGTTTGATCCCTGGTCGGGAGGCGTATAGGACACAGTAGACTGGTTTCGCTCTCACATTGATGTTTCTCTCTCCTCTCCCTTCCCCTCTCTCTAAAATCAATAAGCATGTCCTTGGTGAGGATTAAAAAAACAAAACTGTCACATGAAAGTCATCAATTAAGAAAGGAAAACTGCATCTAGAGACTGAGTAGTGATAAAGTTATTCCTCCTGCAGAAATGTCAGCAATAAAGGTATTCTGTATTTTGTTATTTAGACTTAAAAAGAACTGCCGATCAAAATAACATCAACAACAAACATAGAAATGATTCCAGTTTGCCTTTAATCCAGCCCCTCTGTCATATCTGGCCTTGACTTTGCAATTTTGTTTATAACATGGATCACAAACATAACCAGACCATAGCCAGATACAGAAACAAAGACAGGTGAGTTCCTCTGCTTTGTTTAGTCACAACAGTGGTTTTCATTTCAAAGAGTTGCCTTCTCCCCATCACCAGAGATATCACCAAAGCAAAGCAAATCACCAGGACAACTCAATGGATAGAAAATAGGCCTTTATATAAAAATATCCATATTGTTGATTTCTGACTTAGCAAGTATATGAATTTTTTGCTTTGGTCTTTATAATTTTCAAAACCACAATTCTATAATGAGCATATATGTCTAAAATCAGAGGAAAATTATTTTTAATTAAGAAAATCAGTTTTTTAAAAGGCATTTTTAATTCCATCTTACTCTAACAATTATTTTCTCTATAGCACTTTCCTGCAGACTTTATCAAATGTAATTTTGAGTCATATATACAGTGTCTATATAACTTTTGGTTTTATATTTTTAATTTATATATTTGTAAGCAGTGTCATACCATTCCATAATCTTCATAATTACTATTTAAACAATCTGGACAGTATTCCAATAGAGTAATGTAACGTAAGTAACCGATTTCTCCTTTTTTTAATTTATTGATTTGAGAGAGAGAGGGAAACATCAACTTGTTGTTCCACTTATTGATGCATTCATTTTCATTGGTCGTTTTTTTATGTGCCCTGACCGGGGATCTAACCTGCAACCGTGGTGTACCAGGATGATGCTCCAACCAACTGAGGTACCTGGCTAGGGCAGTAATCAATTTCTCTTCAGTTGGGAGTTTAGGTGGTTATATCTTCAATAAAACTAGTGAAAAATCTTTGCATATATATAGTATTCTTTTGCTGCTAACTCCTTTTATTGGGATAATTTCCCAGAAAGGATATCAACATTTTTATCTCCTGACAGATATTAGCGTCTTCACATGCACTGTCCCAGTTTACACCACACTCCACAAAGGTTTTCTGTCGACCACTGTGGCACCAACAGAGAGCCGGCTCATTTTGTTGTTAACCCTCACTAGAGGGTAGTTTTTCCATTGCTTTTCAGAGACAATGGAAGGGAGGGGGGAGAGAGAGAGAAAGGGAGAGAAACACTGATGTGAGAGAGACACACTGACTGGTTAGTTCCCACAGGCGCAACTAGGGGCAGGGAGTGAACCTGCAACCCAGGAACCTGCCCTTAACTGGGCACTGAATCCAAGACCCTTTGGTATGACAGCCGATGCTCTAACCACTGAACCACAGCAGCCAGGGCAGAGCCTGCTCATTTTTAAGTTTACTGCAACCAACTTTGGAAGGATAAAGCATTCTTCTAACACTGCTCAGTCTGCATGTCTTTCATAACTGCCGAGTTAAAATTGTTTCCCTACGTTTTTATTTGTGGTCACATTCTGGTCTAAACAGGGGAAGCTTGTTCCTAGACCAGATCCAGCACCAGCAGCGCTAACAGACAAAGCATTGGGACACCCCAGCAAGGGGATAACCCCGGATGTGGAAACTTGTATCAAGTCTTCAAACTAGGCTCCATCTCCTCCCAGGCATCTGACCTTGAATCACAGTAAAGAGGACAACAGCTACCCCAGGTGGTGGTTATGAGGACTAAATAATAAACTGCTAGTTGTTTCAACCAGTTTACATGAGAATCACTTCTAAGGTTTTAAAATTACTAAAGCCAAGTCTCATCCCATACCGAAGGAACTGAAAAATCGGAAGAGCTCAGAGGTCGCGGGTGTTTTTTAAAAGCACAGGCAGGGCCCATCTCTCCCTGTGGGGGAGTTTTTGTGTTACACTAGGTGAAGCAGGCTGAGCCTCAAAGCACATTCCACGCACTCAGAGATGACCCCGCTTCCTACTGCACTGAGTGAGAAAACACCCAGTCAGACAGACTCCCCCGGCCCTGCCTCCTGCCATCTGTGCTCACACACTGCCTTCTGCCTTCTCTCCAGCACTGTGAGCAAACTGTCTCCTCTCTGGGCAGGGAGCTAGCAAATGCCCCCTTTCTCTACCAGCTCATGCCCATCAGCTTACACAACTGCCTTGTCACACCACCTGTTTTCACTAACACAGACACACAGGCCCGCGCGTGCACACACATGCATGCATACATACACAGGCCCGTGTGCACATACACTTTTTTAACCTCATATTCCTCTCTGGTTTCCACCCTACTCCTCTCTTCCGTTTACAGGAAAACTCAAAAAAAGTCGTTTATACCTACTGGCTCCAATTCTCCTATGCTCTCCTGAACCCACTCCAGTTAAGTTTTCATCTCCTTGGAAACAGGACAGCAAGATCAGCACTACCCCACTTCTAAATCCAGGGGTAAACTCTTGGTCTCATCTACTGGATCTACCCACAGCTCTTTAAAATAGCTCAGCAAGGCCTTCTGGAAGCTTGCTCTTCACTCAGAAGCCAAGTGAACCCTCCCTTCTGGTCCCCCTCCTACCAAACAGGCTGCTCCTCCCAAACCCTATGAGGGGGCCTCCTCTTCTCTCCAACCTCGGAGCACAGTCGCTCCCAGACTTCCGAGGTCCTAGGACCTTCACTGCAGCCACTGAGCTCAGTCCAGCTTTCAATACCATCTATGTACAGATAATTCCCAAGTAAGGGAATTCTATCTTCAAGCCAGACTTTGCCCATGAAACTCAGAATCACCTACACAACCACACAGTCCACACACCAGCCCAAACATAGTCCGTCCTTCCCCATCTTAGGTCTGCTTCTCTCAGTCTTCCCTCTCTTCAACTGCCCTAGCCAAAGGCCCCTGAAGTCATCCCGGGCTCCTCTTTCTTTCACAACTCCCAGCCGAAGGGAAGGCAAATCCCACTGGCTCTATGTTAAAAATGCCTCTAGAAACAGGTAAGCAGAGCAAGCGCCAGAGCCAGAGAACAGGAGGAGGAGGGTGAAAGCTGGCAAAGTACCTGATACCCGCAAAGCACACACGCCAGTGGCGGGACAGCTTCCCGCAAGCGCTGCCGTGGCCCACACAATGCAGCCCATCACCGTAAGATCTCAGGGTGCTGAGCACGCAGAAGCTCCAAGAAACACCCAGAAAATGGGGAAATAAATAGGTTTCATCAGCACTAGACTTCTTACTAGTACAGGTGGAAACTAGGAGATAACAAATCAATGCTTTCAAAACACAGAAAATAATTTCAAGCTTCGTGCCTATATCCATACAATTGTCAAGTGTAGCAGTAGAATAGAGCCATATTCAGACATGTAAGGTTTCAAAAATATTTACTGCCATGTTTTCTTTTGCAAGAGGCTACCAAAAGATACACAAACGAGAAATTAAACCAAGAATGAGGGAATTATGAGATCTAGAAACCGACGAGAGGAGAGAAGAGACCCAGGACAGTGAGGGACACTCGTGGTGACGCTGTACAGTCATCAGCCTGCTGGCAACCTCTCCAGATCATGTCAGGAAATGTGGAGAGAGAATTCTTCAAGAAGTTAAAGTGACAGTCTACTGGATGCGTTGGATACACTGGATATTGGAAATGTACATAAGTAGGGGATAGTGTGAAGACGAAATATGTAAGAAACAAAGCAAACAAAAAAGTATTAACTTAGTGGAAAACAGTAGGGTGCAGGGAAAGAAAAGGAATCATGGTGTCTCAGCTTTTATACCGCCTAATAATATAAGCCCCCAAATAGTTTTATCTATATTGGGAGGATTGTGGGATAAAAGTAAAGATGCATAGAGTGAGGGTAGAGGATAGTGGAAAAGCCAGATCCCTAACCACTACAGGAAGGCAATAAATAGTAACTGAAAGAACTTGAAGGTGAGGAGGTAAATGCTACAAGAAACATCTAAAAAAGTTCAAGTGGTTGCCTCTGGGGATCTGGAGGGCTGGGGCTTCTGTTTTCCATAAAAAGCCTTATAGGGCTTTAGTCTCTTTAACTATCTGCATATACATTTTTGGTAAAAATTAAAACTATGTTAAAAGGTCCCACAATACTAGACTAGCAGTGGAAGATGGCTAGATAATTCCTTTCAGGACAATTTAACAACGTGAGTCAAATATTAACTGCAATCCTACTTCTGACTGACTGAGAAAATCACTGTACAGGGGAAATGTCGCCTGGACTGGAGGATTCACAGCCATCTTTCATTCTCCTAAAATGTTAGAATTGCAATTTCATCCAATAATATACTAAGTAAAACACACATATACTGCAATGTAAGGCAACCAGAGAAGATGGAGTTATAATCTGTGGAGAAAACCCACATTTGCTAAGTTGGGAAGATGCCAACATTCTGAGTGGGGGGTAAGGGTTACAGAACCACAGATGTAATCTCGTTTATGCAAAATTTTCAATCTGCTAGAACCTCTTCTGCTCCTTCCCTAAATGCCACATGGCTTGCTCATTTCATTCAGGTTTTCAAATATTTCCTTCTTAGAGGGGCTTTACGAGACCACCTTTTCTAAAGCGGCCCACTCTTCTGACGGCCTGCCCTGAAAAGCTTTCCCAGCCATTCTGCAGACCCTGTGCAGTGATGCCAGGTCCTCTAGGCCTGAAGCCTAGCACTTGTACCTGCGCACAGGTCTTTGTGGTTTGGTATATAAAAATAGTAGCAATATATACCCAACATTTCTCTTTTGGGAGGAAAAACTGATTTCGTGTGTGGAATGTGCCTACTCGGTACAAGTAAAGGTTCAATGGATGTTCGTTATCAAAATTATCCTTTTGCACGCTTCTGAATGACTTGAATTTTTCTCAAGATGAAAATACATCTTTTGTACAAAAACAATAATGTTTTTGTTAAAAACAGTTTCATTTTAAAAATACAAAAAGCAGAGAGAAGAGAAAGGGCGGGACCCCACCACTTGTCCACTACGTAAACAGGTCGACGTGTCCCACCGAGGCTATCGCTACCCTCCCGTTAGTAACTACCAAATTCTTTCTCTACCTAGAGACACACACATCCATATAAATCCTTTTATTGAAACAGCTGGGATCATGTCACTTGGTTCTTTTCATTCAACATATTGAACACAGGGCTCCATTATCGCATCCTTTTGTTGTGGTTGTTAATCCTCACCTGAGGATATTTTCTCCATTGCTTTTTAGAGAAAGTGGGGGGACATCCATGTAACAGGGACACATTGATTGTTTGCCTCCTGCATGCGCCCTGGTGGTGAGGGGCAGGGGTGAGATCTAACCTGCAACCCAGGTACAAGCCCTTGACCAGGAATTGAGCCTGAGGCCCTTCGGTGCCTGGGCCGACGCTCTAACCTCTGAGCAACACCGGCCAGGGCCATCATCTCATTGTCTTCAACTGCTGCACAATATTTATTCTATGTGGCATGTAGCAGGACTAAAGCACTCCCTTATTAACCGGCATTTAGGGTGTCCTCAATTTTTTTGCTACCACAACACTACAATGAATGTGAACTTGTGTCCTTATGTGCTTGACCTATTACAAGATTCCCAGGAGGAGCTGAATCATAACACATGAATTTTTAAAAATTGTTTTAACTTAAATATTAGATAGAAAAATATGAAAGTAATGTGAAGGATAAAACAACAATACAATAATCACTATATACTCATCACCCAGCTGAACTGGCGTTGTGTCTGAGTCTTCCCGTTGCCCCTCCCTGATTCCATGGCAGACATGAGAGTTGCCATTTATCAATATTTTGCTTTTTTCTATTTAATAAAAGAAACTAATATGTTATTGTTTCATTATTTTATTTCTTTAATCATTATAATATTATCTTCTCATAGGTTTATTGGTTATTTGTATTTTTGTAAATTACTCATTTTCTTTATTCATTCTTTTTAAAAATAATTTATTGATTGATTTTTAAAGAGGAAGGGAGAGCAAGAGAGTGAGAGTGAGAGGGAAACATCGATTTGTTGTTCCACTTATTCACGCATCATTGGCTGCTTCTTGTATGTGCCCTGACCGGAGATTAAACCCACAACCTTGGCATATGAGGACGATGCTCTAACCAAGGCTATTCATTCTTCTATTACATTGACTAGGGGAGTTATTTTATGATTTACAAAATCTCTTTACATATTAGGGACATTAACCCACTGCTATTATTCATGTTGCAAATAAGGTTTAACATTTTTATAGATACCTCTAGCAGTTTTCTTTCTGCCTTCCCAAGTTTAGGTATTTTCCCATACATTCTTTAGAATTTTGTTTTTTACATTTAGATCTTTAATTGATACTGACTTTATTTTAGTATATGGCAGGAAACATGGCTCTAACTTTATTTTCTTCTAAACCCATAACCAGTTGTTACAATTGCATTTACTGAATAATTTCTTTCTCAACTGATGTAAAGACTTTATTACATATCAAATTTATATGTATATATAGATACAAGTGTGTGTTTGTACACATATGTGGATGGTTATTATGGTACACCCACATATACACACACACATGGCTGTTTTGGACTCAGTTTTCTTCCACTGCTCTGTCTAGCCTGTGTAACACAATGGAGCTTGGTCAAAAGAAATCACTCACCTGTCCCTCTTCGTCAAAAGCCATGACGACCACAGCAGCACCAAACTTCTTGATAATCCTAGCCTTCTCCAGGAAGTCCCCCTCCCCCTCCTTCAGACTGATGCTGTTGACGATGCACTTGCCCTGGCAGCACTTCAGGCCAGCTTCAATCACAGCAAAATTGGAAGAGTCAATGCACAAGGGCACCTGGAATCACAGGGCAGAAAATCACGAAAGATAAGTCACCACAAAGTCCCTTCCAAGGCCTCCCAAACAGTTCCCATTTCTTCCTTAGGGAAACAATAAACAATAGTGTAATAAGAGAGAGGACTTTAATGTACCTGTTCTTAAAGCCCAAAATACTTGAAGTAATTCCAGTCTTACAAGAGACTGCATGCATGAAGGGCCAGAACTTTCTAACTCAAAGATCACGGGTCTACATCAGAATGAAATCGGAAGGTCAGCTCACTGGCTTCAGTACTGGTTCATACTCTCAAGTGCCTGCCCCTGCGGCCAGCACCTCACTCAGATCCTCATACCCCTGATCTGACTCAAGATTAATGTGTAGCCTCAGGCCCTGGGAATAGCCCTCAAGCCAAGTTATTCAAATTCAATCTTCCCTTTAGAAAATCAAGTTCCTGACTGGGGAAAAAAGGAGATGTAAAATTAAACAAATGCATATAACTAAAATAAAGGGAAAATTGGAATGCACAAATTAGAACAGGTGCGTCCTTAATACTCCCATGCACTCATGCCTCTGTACCAGGAAAGGTGAAAGAAAGGGCTTCAAAGAAGGACTAGGATAGACGATCACTCCATAAATGATCAAGTGTCGACCATGTTATATCCCATGTGGAATTCAGGACAATGGTTAGGCAGCCACTCCCTGGCTCCCCTGAACATATAAAGATAAATGATTAAACAAGTAATGACACAAAATGTGGGAAATGCTAGAGCACAGGCAGCCAGGGGCATCAAACCCAATCTATGACACAGGGCATGAGGGGAGGGAGAATCAGGAAAAGGGTCCCTGGGCAGGTGGCTCTTCCTTAAGCTGCACCACCAAATAAGAGCAGAACAGAACAAGGAATCCATGCACTTAGCTCTTTCCTAGCACACTAGTAATGACAGGTGTGCTAGGAAAGGGTCAAATACAATGACAATACCAGGCCAATGTTTAAAGTGCTTGCTGGCAGTTTGGTGTCCCAACCTTGCCGGTCATGTTGTTACAGGGTACCCCAATTGTTCAAAATTTGGTCTCAAGTAAATTTTAGTAGTAGTGTTATCATCATAATTAACTAGTTATTAACACTATAAAGAAAGCAAAGGGAAGGCCTGACATTATAGGCATGGTCATCTGGGCAGCTTCACCAGGAAGCTGCAATTTCACACTCCCCAGGGAACCACCAATCCATTCCCTACAAATCATTGGAGGAAGGGATCCAACAAAGGGGGAAATGGGCACATGCACAGCGAAGTTGGGATGAAGTAGGGAAATTGCTTGCTGTCAGTCTAACCTGGGAAAAAGATAATGGGCTAGGGGGACAGAGCCACTGAAAGCCTGAGAAATCCTGAGGGTTAATTGGTTAAGCTCCCAGTTACAATCCCCAGAGTTCTCTCCCTCTTCACTCTGGCCGCTTTCTCTTCTCTTGCTCCATGACCCACACTCACCTGTGCCATGTGGCCTTAAGCAGGCCATGCGGATCCCAGGTGGCACAGTGGACTGTAGCTGGGAACATAAGCTAAGCTAACCTGATGCTGGACTAGACTGTGCAAATATGGAGCAGAAGCTCTGGGAAGAGGCTTTGATCCTAGCTCTGCTGAAGACAAAATGAAACTTTTTCCTTGGTGGGATGGAGAGAGATGGAACCTTGGAAGGGAACCCCTTAATTTTGCATCATCAATAAAGCTTTCCACGAAACCCCATCCTCCATGAGGGCCTCAGGAAATTCTTTTCCCAGTGGCACCCTAAGAATTCCACTCCATCAGTAACAGGTGGAGACACAGAGAGCACCCCACTGATAACAGAAGGTCCAAACCAGAAAAGATTAAGAAAAAAAAATTATAGTAGCAATCAGAACACTAAGTAAGTAATAATGCCTCAAGTTACATGGGGTCGTCACAGTTAACAAGGCATTTTTATCTTTACAATTCACAAGTCAGACTGTGGACGAAAAGGGGCCAAACTCAGAGACCTAAAGTAACCACATAGGATGGTCTGAAATTAAAACTTTCTAACTAAAAGCAGTTTATGGTGGGTAGTCATGACCTAGGCTAGAATCTTCCCTGACAGAGGTCAACTTTCTAATTGATACTATTATCTTTTTGCATCTATGATAACATACCTTTGGAATGTCAAAGTCATTTCCTTTTACCTGACCTCAAAGCCAGGCTCTACACCAGAGCAGAGACTATAAATCCCCTCATTGTTATCATGTTAATACACCCACCTAAGTAAAAGAAGCATGTGTCTATCATTTTACTTTTTATCCAACCCCAGAGATTTCCCTGCTTTGCTTTCTCTTGCCTCCCTAATCTATCACCAATGGATTTCATGTAACCCATATAGGCTTCGATTGTAATGTATAAAATAAGGTGCAAGACTGACATTTTTCCAGAGCATTTTCTCAATCCATTGAGGTTTTGCTTACCAGCAACTGTCCTAAGTTTGGTTCAAATAAACTCATAAAAATTCTCTACAGATCTGAACATTTCAGGTTTGAATATTTGCTAAGATAAAGCAAATATGGTTATTCCCATTTCAGAGATGAGAAAGAAATCTAAGGTCTGTGGATGAAAAGTGGGTTCTACGGGAAGTAACCTCACAGAGTGATCTGATCATAAATTCCTAACTGGGCAGATCATGGTGGGTAGTCATACCCAGGCATATAACTTTTTTAGTAAAAGGCTTATCTTTGCCTTCACTGGTATGGCCCACAAAATCATTTGGTCTGGTTCTGCCAAGGCAACTGCAGGCAGGACCAGAAATTCAATAAATCTAGGAGCTTTTTTAATAGCTATTTTTTAAGTTGATAATTCTGTATGGCCCTTGAATAATGTTATAAATATCCAAATGGCCTTTGTCAGAAAAAAGGTTCCCCACCCCTGCCTTAAGCAAACCTTGTCCATTGTTTTTGTGCATCTAGGTTAATACATCTTTGAAATAACTGCCCTCAAGAGAGCATATAATCTTAACTATCCCGTATTCCAATCCCCACCTTGCTTTCTCCCACCTCCATGTAATCTTCCTTACATTCCCTCCTTAATTTCAAATACATAAAAGAAACTGCAAACTGTTATTTTCCATAGCATCTGAGAACTTGCCCACCCCCCTGGCCCCCTGCATAAGTCATTAGTTTGGCTCAAATAAACTCTTAAAAATTCTCTACAGCACAGCCAGTGTGGCTCAGCAGTTCAGCATTGACCTAGGATCCAGGAGATCGAGGTTCAATTCTCAGTCAGGGCACATGACCAGGTTGCAAGCTTGGTCTCCTGTAGGGGACATACAGAAGGCAGCTGATCAATGACTCTCCTCATTGATGTTTCTATCTCTCTCTCCCTCTCCCTTCCGCTCTCTGAAATCAATAAAAAAATAAAAAAGAAGAAAAGAATGTAAAAAAATGCTAGTCATCACAAATTCAATGGTAGAAAAATGAAGTAAGTTTTTTTTAAAATAAATCTTTATTGATTTCAGGGACAGGAAGGGAAAGAGAGAGAGAGAAACATCAATGATGAGAGAGTCATTGATTGCTGCCTCCTGCACGCCCCCCACCAGGGACGAAGCCCACAACCTGGGCATGTGCGCTGAGTGGGATTTGAGCTGTGATCTCCTGTTTCATAGGTCAACTCTCAACCACTGAGCCACACCAGCCAGCTGAGGTGAGAGTTTTAAGGTTTTAAAATCCATCTAAAAATTCTTTAATACTTTAATTTTTTATATCTTTATTGATTTCAGAGAGGAAGGGAGAGGGAGAGAGAGAGACATAGAAACGTCAATGATGAGAGAATCGTCATTGATTAGCTGCCTCCTGCACGCCCCCGACTGGGGATCGAACTCACAACCCTGGCATGTGCCCTGACCGGGAATCGACCCGCGACCTCCTAGATCATAGGTAGATGCTCAACCACTGAGCCACGCCCGACCAGGCCCATCTAAAAATTTTTTAAAAGACTGACACAAAAACTTTCATTTTTTAAAGAAAAAATGTAAAAGCTGACACAATACCACCCTGACTTAATCTTGTTTTGTGATTTTGTCTCACTGTGATAAACCTAAGGTCTCTTCTTCCTTCGATGAAGAAGAATTAACTGAGCTCCCTCATCTAGTGGGGATGGAAGGAATGATTTTGCAAGAAGGTTAAGTATATTCTTCAGAGACATAGAAAGTGTGTTCTTCGTCTACCCAGACATCAGAGGAAAGTCAGACAATTCTTGTGATAAATGTCAGAAGCCTGGGAACAGCCCAGCTGAAGTTGCATCTCTGAGAATTCTGGTTTTTGTTGTAAGAATAACGTTAAGTGAGAATACTATAATCAGAAACCACTGGGCTTCTTGAGAATTCTGGTTTTTGTCGTAAGGCTAACGTTAAGTGAGAAAACTGACAATCAGAAACCATTGGGCTTTTGACATAGGAAAACAGAAAACTAGTGTATGACAGACAGGTCAATGGGACAAATAACAAAGTTAAATCAGTGATGTAAATTGCCTTTATAAATAAAAATGTTATATAACCTTGGCAATGTCAGGCTCGGAAGCAATGAGGTTGCAGAATCTGGTCATTGCACTTGGGCCATCGAGCATTCCGTCATCCATGTTGATATCTAGCACCTGGGCTCCCATTTCCACCTGCTCTCTGGCAACACTCAGACCTTCCTGAGGAAAGAAAACAAGAGGAAGCAGTGTGAGAACAGGGATTGTCAAGAGGCTAACAAAGTAATTCCTCGCCATCCCCAGCAATCCTTTCGAATTATACTCGACGCACCGGCCAGCTTCCCTGACTCCAGGCCCACTCTCCTCTCTTCCCATCAATCACTGCAGGTGAACCTTAGACATCTCTCCCATCATATCATGTCACTATTTAGAACCCAAGAGGCTGCTTTCCTGCCATAAAGAACCTAACCTCAGCCTGGAGTTCGGGTCTCTGTGGCCTGGCCTTAACTTCTTCCCTAACTGAACTGTCCACTCCTCCCCTGCACCCAGCCAAGTCTGTTCTTACCTGTGCCACAGATCATGTTGTCCCTCTGCACTCCCCTTCCCATCTATATTGTTTAAGACCCAGCTCAAGTCCCATCTCTAGAAAAAGTCCTTTGGAGAAACCATCCAAAACGTAAAAGCTGACACAATACCACCCTGACTTAATCTTGTTTTGTGATTTTGTCTCACTGTGATAAACCTAAGGTCTCTTCTTCCTTCGATGAAGAAGAATTAACTGAGCTCCCTCATCTAGTGGGGATGGAAGGAATGGTTTTTGTTGTAAGGATAACGTTAAGTGAGAATACTATAATCAGAAACCACTGGGCTTCTTGAGAATTCCAGTGTTTGCCAAAACATGCAAAGTGTACACTGTAGGCAGCTAAGAGATGTTACATGAAATATGAGTTAAGTAAATGTCAGCAGGTTTTTATACTCAAAGGCATTTAGAATCCTTTAATATGCTATTATATACTGTAAATCCCCAAGAACAGAACACAACTTGCAGCCTTTCCCACTATGACCATGGAAGGGATATCTTGTAGAATCAGCATTCCAGACAACCTTCTTTGGGAAGAAACACTGCTTATTCCACAATGACCTGCTGCCTCTAAACCTCTGCAACAATTATAATCATCACATGGTTTATTACATTACCATTTCCTCGTGATTTCGTTAAGTCTTAGCTTATTCCTCAAAGTAGATTTTAAGTGTTTGGAAATTTAAACGTCTTATGTGTCTCCCACTCTGAACAATGTTGGCCAAAATATACATGTTCAATAATGCTTTCTGCCTGATACAACCGACTTAATTTTAAGTCTTCATTGTACACTTCATAGTGTGATAATTTTTTCTTAGCTCAAAAAAACCAACCAGAGATATTTAGCAATCACTGTGAGAGAACAAGGCCCTTTAGCATCTGCCACAGGAAAGGCCATTTATAATGATACGAGGTTACACAGAGTAAAAGTATCACAGTAAAACCACTCTGGGTATCAGCAATGTGTTAAAAAAAATATGGTAAAGAATAAAAAGATGTGTAAGCCATAATCCCTATTCTTGAAGGTAATACATCTCACTGGGGGCATAAGACACGGTCACATAAAAAGCTACTGGCACTGTCACAGTCTGTGAGTCATGTGCCAAGATTGGATGGACACTAAGAAGGGCAAGGTCTCTGAGGACTGAAATGGAGAAAGCTTCCTGAAGGAGGGTCTTTAGCTGGGACCTGGGGGATGGGCTGGAGGGTGCAGAGAAAAGATGGCAAGAAGCCCGAGGCCAAACAGCTTGGAAAACTGCCAATGCCCGCCCTTTCTATTTCATAAGTCATAGAATAACAGTTTGTAGGTCCAACCTTCCCACATCAGCTCAGGAGGTGAAGTGATTTCTTAAAGATGTACATGTTGAGCAAAAAGACAGGACTGGAGTTCTTTCAGGCCAGTGCTCTTGATCTTCAACAGATCACTAACTCATGGGGAACTAAAATCGAATGAGGACCCACTCCCCCCTCCCCTTCCTACTTCTACCGCCTCCTCCTCCTGTGTCCCCTAGGCAGAGAGGAGTGGTTAAGGGCTGAGCTGTGTGGACTTGGGGTCTATCATCACTTGCTGTGAAGTATCAGTCTCCAACTGCGCATCTGTGAAATGGGGATAATAGTACCTCTCTCATAGGTCTGTGAAGATTAAATGAGTAATGATGCAAACAGCACTTAGCACAGTGACTGGCAGAAGGTAAGACCTTACTGAACAGCAGAAGTTACTCTCTGTTTGCTTCTTCCTAAAATGCCCTCTGCTCTCAGTGTGCAATCTGTCAAATCTGAAAGCTAAAGAATGGTCATAAAAATCAAAACATAAATAGAAACACTGCCAACTGAAGAGCACTATACACTATGAAGGGTCACCAGGATTCAGAAGGCAGCAAACATGAACAAGCCTCCTGGAACGTTCAGGGGACACATGAGAAGGAAGGCAGCTGATGCCTAAGTGGAGAGCACTGCATAATGACCTGAAGAGTTTGGATTTTATCCTAGATGCAGAAAAGTCAGCTGAGGGAGCTTTTGAACTGGGGAGGACCATGAAAGAAGCACACATGGCCATGAACATAGCAGGAAGGAAGGGAAGAGACTGACGGGAACTGTCAGGAACCAGGTAACCAGGCCCCACCTAATGTGCCACGGCAGGAGGCCATGCGGAGTGACCACTGGATCCAGAAAGGGGGATAAACAGGTCCTTTCTTTATGATTAAAACAAAGTCCACCTTGATAGTGGTTTCTGGATGATCTACTTCCTAAAGGTTGTAAAACCTTAAAGTGAGAAAAGTTTGATGATAAAGTAAGTTATCATTAAAGCCCAGACCAAATTCCTCCATTTTTAAGTTCATATTTGTGTAAGAAAAACAACCTCCGTCCAGATGTTTAGGGTAGGCTCTATACGGATTACATTTTGCTCATCCACAGAGGGATTAGCTTAAAAATACTCTGGCCAAGTGACCATGTGAACGTCCCAGGCAGGGCCTGTCCTTTCTTCGTGCTTGCGTATGTGCTTCAGCCTGCAGCAAACAGAATCAGTACGTCAGTCACTGCCTGATGTGGTCCTAAGAACTCGAGACTTTCTTGACTTTCACTTTCCCCACAAGGATTGGTGAGAAGCCAAAATGAAGAGCATTCACAAATTTTTACTTACTTCCGAATTAAAAAAATAGCTAAACCCGGACCCTCCATCTCATCCCACCTCATAACCCAGATGAAGTACTTTCTGACAAATAAGGACAAGAGCAGCCTTGATTTTCGAAGCTTTGTCCCCCTACTGGCCCAGCCAGAGGCAGACACACGCCACAGTTCTCACACTTCCAGCAGCCCTGCTAGCAGCCAATCAAAGGCTGTCAAAAGAGCTGCTTCGCTTGCTTGCTGTCTGAACCAAAGCACGGCAGATGCCTCAAGGCTGGTACTGAGATGCTCACCTCAAAGTTTCCTGCCATGATGAGTTTCGCAAACTTCCGGGATCCGGCCACGTTACAGCGCTCTCCAATGTTAACGAAGTTGGTGTAGGGTCCAATCCTGAAGGGCTCCAGACCTTAAAAGGAGAAGCACTTTGAAAATTTCTGAAAATGCAGATGGTGACATGAGACAGACGGAATACAAATGTTTTCATGAGAAAGTAAAAAGCTTCTGTGCCACAGCCCCTCAGACGAGACAGGAGATGCAATCTGAAAACAGGACCAGCGCCTTCTCCTCTAAGGAAATTAAACTACATGTTGCAGCTACATTTACAATCAGACACTCAAAAAAAGAAATATTCCAGGATTTTAAATCGCAATTTTCTCTAAGAGTTGAATCATACCAGCTCTGACAAACAAGAAAAAAATATAATTTCCCTATTTAATCAAGAGTCTGAGGCAAGGCTAGCCTGCATGCTGTGGTGCAGGGGGAGCGCTGTAAGCCCTGAAGCCCTACATGGTCCACTGGTTTCGCAGGATGAGCTCAGTCGGCACTGGGTATGGATTATCAGCCTCTACATTCCCTCCTGATGGAAATGCTTTTCAAGCTGAATATGCTGTGGAGGCTGTGGAAAATACTACTGGAATCAGATGTAAAGATGGTGTTGTCTTTGGGGTAGAAAACTAAGTCCTTTCTAAACTTTATGAAGAAGGGTCCAACAAAGACTCTTCAGTGTTGATCAACATGCTGGAATGGCAGCAGGTTTGTGGCAGATGCTCTGTCTTTAGCAGACACGGCAAGAGAAGAAGCTTCCGACTTATGATCTAACTTTGGTTCTAACGTTCCGCTCAAGTATCCTGCAGACAGTGGCCATGCACGTGCATGCACACATACTCTACAGTGCAGACCTGAGGCTGCAGTTCCACGCTAGGGTCTGACAGAGGGAATGACGGTGCACAACTCTACACGACTGACCCATCGGGTGTTTCATATGGTTCCTGGGGCTGTGCTATTGGCAAGGCCAAGCAAGCTGCAAAGGCAGAAACAGAAATGACCTGCTGTCATGTTGTTAAAGAGGTTGCAAAAATAATTTACACAGCACACGATGAGGTTAATGATAAAGCTACTGAACTGGAGCTCAGCGGGTCAGGAGTAACTACAGGGAGACATGAAGTTATCCCAAAAGACACAGGGAGAGGCAGAGGGATGTGCTAAGGAACCTGAAGGACGAAGGTGAATCAGGTGATGACAACATGTAACATTTACTTCAGCATTTATTTTAAATTTCTAATACAGTCCCTGTGTTAACTATTTAGTCCCTTGGATTATCACATATCCAGGGACCAATTTTCATTAAATTTCTGTCTTGTAATCATTGAAGTTTGGTTAATTTCTGCTTGACTAAGTTGGTGGGGGTTACTGAGCACATATTCTTAGCATTAAAATGTAGATTTATGCCTATTTTAAAATTTCTGGGGTAAAATACTGCAAATAGAGGCTTTGGCATCAGTTTAATTCAAAGCTCCATTCCTAGCTCAGCTAGGATTTAAGATCATGTTCTGCTGGCACGTTATGTAAAAATTACCTACCAATGCAGTAGGCAATTAACTGATGCCACTGCCCAGTTTTGTATTTAGTGAAACGATTGTTGGTTATCAGCCACTGTTAACCTCTAGTTGTACACACACAAGAAAGATGTTTCAGGAGAGTTGAGAATGTATTTTTTTTCTTTTATTGTGGTGAGGAGTATCCACAAAATTGCTATTTTTGTCATTTAAGAAATTTCTCAATCTGTAAAGTTCATATAAAAATACTCATATTTTATGTTAAAAATAAATGAGAATATATGTGGGGGAGAAAAGAATATATGTCTGGGGCAAAAGCCATGATGTCCCAGGAGTGCTCCACACTGTCCACTCCACAGCTATCCATGCAGACAGCAGCCTGAAGCGGGATGGAGCAAGCTTTCTTAATTCACCAGCTTTACCATGTCTCTTTGATTCAAGTCCAAGAGCCCACAGCCAGCAAGACTGAGCAGGGTCAGGAAGGGCCCAGGCTGAGCCCTGGGAGAAAGAGGTACTACTGTGGCAGGTTCACACTCAGGAGCAGACTGTGGGCAAAGCCACTTGGGGCTCCTGCACCTCTTTCTTTCTTTGCCAAGGGGTAACAGCATCTGCCCTATTACAGGCCAATTTAGGGGCAAAATCGGATGATAAATGTGGATACATTACACTGAGGTAAAAACAACATGGTATAAAGTATCACTACAGAAAAGGCCTTTAACTGTTTTGTTCAGCTCATTATATTTAACTTGTCAGGAGAGTCTTGCTGGGTAAGGTTAAAGGCAGGCTCTGGGGACAACCAGCCTCGGTTCAAGCCCTTCCCAGCCATCTCAGTGAACAACCTGGATGACTTCTCACAGCCTCTGAGCTTATAAAACAGAGACAGGAAAAGTATCTGTCCCATAATGTTACTGTAAAAATGAGACTAGAAAATGTCTTTTGAGTCCTTTCCAAAGCACTGGTTGAAGAAGAGACAGGTATGAAGGAGAGGAAAATAATAAATATAGACAGGTGTTTGTTCCCCAACTGGGAAGAGCATTTCCTTCTGGTTTGGGCTTGTGATTTCCCTTTCTGCTCTTAATGACCCTAACAGTCTCACCCCAACCCCTACCAGCCTCAGGGTGACTCTGGTCTCTAGTCAGGTCCTGAGGCCTCCAGGGCGGACAAGCAGAGATAACAGCTTTAAATGCTGAAGAGATTCTGTATCGCAGCCTTCCAAGCATTTCAGGCAAAGCACTTCTGATCTAGTATGAATGCAAAGTTGCTGATTTAAACACTACACTCCTCACAAGTATGTAATTTACAAAAGAACAATTTAAAAGAGTATGTTTGATGTCATTCTTTTAAAATCTAATTGAAGATTTATTTTTTTTAAAGTTTATTTTCAAGGCTCTGAATGATCTTTAGTGAACAAATGATGAAGGGTATTATTATTTTTTTCCATTGTTTTCAGACAGAGTGGGGGGGGGGAGAAATATCGATATGAGAGACACACATCAACTGGCTGCCTTCCAGCAAGGGCCCCAACTGGAGTTGGGATAGAGCCTGCAGCGGAGGCATGTGCCCTTGACTGGGAATCAAACCTGGGACCCTTCGGTCCATGGGCCAACACTCTCACCACTGAGCCAAACCTGCCAGGGCTAACTGAAGGTGATTTTTAAAGCAATTTAGAGATAGCACAAGAAATTCAAATTGGAAAAAAGATTTTTCATTCTTACACATAAATTCTTTCTAAACATCATATTTAAATGGATCCCTTCTTATTTCACCTTTGGTAAAGGTTGACAATTTTAATTGTTAGTTGTTGGCTGAAGTCAATTAATAGCTTTAAAATCGAAGGATGACCCTGGCCAGTTTGGCTCACTGGTTAGAGCGTCAGCCCACAGACTGAAGGGTCCTGGGTTTGATTCCAGACAAAGGCACATACCTAGGCTGCAGGCTCAGTCCCCGGTTGGCGTGCAAGCGGGAGGCAACTAATCGACGTGTGTCTCTCACATCGATGTTTCGATGTTTCTCTCTCTCCTCCCCACTCTCTCTGAAAAGCAATGGGAAAAATATCCTCGGGTGACAATTAAAAATTAATTAATTAATTAAAGTCGAAGGATGAAATAAACTATTCTACCACACCTCTGTGTGACAAAAGTCACTTTTGGGGTATCACAAACCCCCCTTCCTCTAACCTCATCCTGTCTTTGGAGCATAAGGACACAGAGCAGCCTGACGGGCATGTTGTGACCCATCCTCACCTCCCTCCCTGGTACTGTCTGTGCAGCTCGTTCTGAGTGAGAAAAGTGGGTGCTTCCATTGCTGGCACTCATCTTTTATTTACTCTGCTAGGGAAACATAAGCAACAAAAACGCCTCACTTTAGAGAAATATTCAATTCTAAATTATTAGGGTGCATAACTCCCCATATGTGCCATCTACAGTTCTCTAAGAATCTGTTTAGACATTTTTTTTGCTTAAAGATACTATTTAAGAATATGTCATTAAAGTATCATGGGGAAATTTTCAAATTACTTTATAGTAGTTGGCATAATGAACTATTTTACCAATGTTCCTTATTTGAACATCAAAACTCATTCTGAAAAGGGAGGCTACCTACCTCACAGGACTGCTGAGGACAGAAGAAAAAAGTAAACATCACAACTCTTTTTAAAGTTCTGAACATATGACAAATGTGAGACCATGACAATATTTTAGAAACAAACAAAATTTTTTAGGAAGAGGCTGTATCATTACAAAACATAGAATCTTGGCAGTTTGAAATTTTCATTAACTAGCAGCAAATCTGATGATAAGAACTGTGAGGCTGGGGCCGAAGATTATGTTTTCAAAGAGGTAACATTTAGAGACGGGGCCATGTGAGTTCTAATTCTAACCAAGGGCATCTGGGCAAATCACCTGCCTTCATTCATGTTTCCCGGGAAGTTAATGTCACCCCCAGAAAAACAAAGGGTTCTTCACTAGAACCCACCTAAGTGCCAAGAAAAACACACACCCTTCTTTATGGAACAAACAAGTGGTTGGCACAAACATCACTATCACTCAGGATAAACATACTAAATTCATCTACAAATGATTTCTGAAACCATACAACCCATGGCTAGACTACTTACCAGACAGTGACATATGCCCTTCTGAAACAGTGGCAGGTGGAACCCGAGGCTTACAGTTTTTCACAGCTTCAGCAATTTCCCTGAATTAAAAGAGAAAACACTATATCCACTAATTCAGAATAAAATAAAACTAATTTCCAGCTATAAAATGAAGTCTATTTAATACAATTGTGCACATAATTATATATCTAGTTTCAAATGTGCAGCAACAGTTACACCTTTTAGTTTTCTCAGTAAAGCAGGAAAAGGGATTCCTAACCCTAGCTTTTCTAAACCTGCCCAGCCTGCTGTGCGTGACGGAACCAGTTTCCGCACTCTGAGCTGTGCACCTAGAGGTGGAGACAGTCTGCACAGAGGCAAACAGCACATCTCCTCCTGTTCCCAGACTCATGGATGTCCTTTACTTCACCAAATCCACACAACACATGTCCCTGCTGCTATTCAGTAGTTTAAAAGAAAAGAGGCTTCATGGCTGAGAAGGAGGGGCAAACAAGGGGTGAAGGAAATTAAATCCTTTAGGTCTGTTTTTACCAAGCACGGCACACAGAGTAGGGAGGGTACACAGGAATACATCATTAAAACACCAAAATGATTACTCCTAAAAATGTGTTCTGATTATTTATACTCTTTGAACCTTTATCAGCTTTAATGGATTATATCTTTGATCAACCTGGAAAAATCTGGCTAATATAATCCAGAATGATAGACAAAGAGACATATATACCTATGTGTATGTTATTAACATACACTTATTTTAAAAACAACTTTTTAAAAAGAGATAACTTTGAAAAAAAAGAGATATGAAGATAAGCTATATTCAACTACTACAGCTTTCGAAGATGTACACGATGTTTAAAAAATGAGACAGACTCTTAATAGAGTCTATCACAGAAGTCAACAAAAGCAGTGAAATAGTAGGTAATTCAACAGAGAACATATTATACACATCACAACAGACTCAGAACAGGGAGCTGACTAGCTCAAAATATGACCACCAGTCACTCTAGGGAAGAAACCAAACTATGTGGTCCTAAATATGTTCTATTCCACTGAATTCCAATCCTCTCAAAAGCCGCAGAATTGCAAGGACTTACACAACTTCACCAGGCTCTAGTTTCACACACCCTCCTCCTGCCTCACTTGGCAATGACTGTGGCTGGCAAGTGGTCTCACCGTGTTTCCTTTCATGAGAGAATCTAAGGGAGGTGTGTATCTGCCCACAGGAAATATGAGCTGTTCCTCCTTGACCATTCATACATTAATTAGGTACTTAAGAGGAGAATATTATCATATCTGGGATTTGTTTAACAATAGTCTGGGGGGGACAGTTGGAGAATAGGTAAAATAGGAATAGCAAATGTTAAAAATTATGAAAATTATGTGTTAGGCACATGGGCATTCATTTTATCTTTGGAACTTTTCATAATATAAAGGTATCTTAGGTAGCTAGGGCTGCCCTAATGAAATACCACAGACCGAGTACAGTAGTTTAAATAGCAGAAATTTATTTCTCAAAGTTCTGGAGGCTCCAGAGATCAAGTGTCTTTTGACCTCTAAGGCCTCTCTCTCTTTGGCTTGTCTTCTCTCTGTGTCTTCGCATTGTCCCTTTCTCTGTACTATGTCTGTGTCTAATCTACTCTTTTTATAAGGACACTAGTCATGTTGGATTAGGGTCTACTCATGTGACCTCATTTTACCGTAATTACCCCTTTAAAGTCCCTATCTCCGAATACAGCCACATTGGAGGAACTGAGAGTTAGGACTTCAACATATGATTTTGAAGAGAACATAATTCATCCCATAATAAAAGGTAAAATATTCAGAAGTGATTACTACCTGATATGATCTGGTGTCGTACCACAGCATCCACCAACAATATTGACCAAGCCATTTATAGCAAAGTCCTGAATTTAGGAAAAGAAAGTCTCAGGGAATTTGTCTGAATTCTAAACTCCCCACTACCCATTCAGCAGAAAAAAATCCTACATTCCCCGAATAACTAATTTTATATTAAAAAGAGAGCTAAACACACTTAACTCTGGATTCAGAGCTTTTTAATGCCCCAGATATAACATTAAAACAGTTCAGATACTATGAAATTCTTTATCCCATTTAAAATGTAGTATTTGTTTGCTTCTCTGATCATAATAAAGATTTTTGCCCATATGCTGAGCTGAATATGAATTAGCTAATGCATTTTCAAATAACACATAAAGTTTTAAAATTTAAATTAATTAAAAATTTTAAAGAATTAAAAATTCAGCTCCTCAGTCACAAGAGCCACATTTCAAGTGGTAGTGGCTGCATACAGGACAGTGTGGGTCTGGAGTCTAACCATAGGCTAGTTTGAAGGACAAGAGAGGAAGGCAAGAAACTGAGAAGTCCAAACACTGAAAAGAGGATCTACATAAGGTATTAAAATTATAAGAATTAAGTCAGAAATAGTTTAGGAGAGAATGTCAGGGAGCCAGAAGCTACAGATCCCAGGAATGAAGAAAAGAGACCAGGGGCTAGTGGTAAGGGGGGGAGACGGGTAGTATGGGGTCATGGCCCAGGCAGTGGGTAGTACAGGGTTCCAGGACAGAGACATACGGGACAGGAGAATGGGGTGGTGACGACGGGAAATAAGGAGTCTGGGCCTGGGGGAAACCACTTGGGAGGGCTGCAGGACAGGCGAGTTTCGATTAGTTTCAGTGGGACCTCACTGGGAATTTTCCAATAGCCACCAGTACCAACTGGGAGAAGGAGGCTGACAGTTAGCCTGCCCCTCTACCTCTATCAGGTCAAATCAGAATAACTAAGATTTATTCATTACAGTACATAAATTGGAATTTATTTAGGAAAAAATTTTGCTTCTAAATATTCTAAATCTAAAACTTCATTCCCCTCTCTCAAGAACCAAGTAAAAGAGTACACTTGACCTTTAAGTGCGTGGCCATCATGTGCGGAGTTTCGTCATAGTCACCGAAGGTGTTGGGAAGACCTGAAAAAGGGTATTTCAACCATTACTGGAAACTCCCTAACAAACAGACATTGTATCTGTAAAAGCTTTAGGTTAAAATGTTAGAAAACTTTATATTTAAGTTAAATGGTGCATTATAATACTTGCAAAAACAAATAGTTCTTAATGTTAAACACAGTAAATAGAAACACCACACCAAAAACAAAAGTCACAGAGGAATATAAACACCACCATTTCCTTTCCATTTGAAAGAAAAGCATTACTGCTACATGGGACAGAACCCCCCACTATTCCCCACCCCTTCCCATAAAGGAAATTCATTCATTACCCAGCTGCTTGGGGTGGGTTGGGGGAGTACTATGCCCCTCAAACTAATGAGCACCTGACATGCAATTAAAAACACAAAACACGACCAGTCTCCTTTCAAATAAATTTTCCCAAGTAAAACTTTAGTATCTAATTTTCTAATTTCGTATGCCCTTCCAGTTACCTCGATACTGGTGGAAAATAAAATTTATTGTGTGTTAAAATGTATATATTTGGAGGAAAAAATGCTGGGAAATGATATTTAGCCTTAAGTACCTAAGCAGTGCTCAAAACATTCACCAGGAAATCAGGTTAACCCAGATGAATTACCACTATTTAACTGAATAGTTTGAGAATTATCTATAAACCCCTCGGTAATTTTTATAGTGTAAACTAGAAGTCCTAACTTTTAGAAGGGAAAGGGTAACAAGACATGAGGCTCTCCATCTGCTCTTTGTGAACAGTGACAAAGGAGATGGGGGCTCCCTCTCCTGCTCTCTGCACTGGTCATTCCGGTCACCTTCCACACGGTAAGGGCTGTCACCAAAAGCAAGGCTCTATCAGTTATGGGACTAGTCTTCATTCCTCAAAGTTCTGCCCAATTCTGAAGCTTTCAGGCTAAGCCAAACTGTTCCTTCAAGTCTAAAGGAAAACAGTGGTCTAGACCCAAACATTCTCCACTTAGAAAATTCCTATAGGTTAACTGAGTGTTCACTACATACCAAGACCTACGAAACAAACTCTTTTATCAAGATGTTACTGTACCCACCCATGTCCCGTGTATTTGGATTTCCCCATGTGCAGCTCCCTTGAAATACACACCTGCATTGGGATAGCAGAGGACATAGGCTGTTGTCCATTTTCCAATTGTTTCAATAAAAGGTCTCATTTCAGCTGCACCCAGAGCACAATTCAATCCAATGCTGGAAAAACAAGAAGATAACAAGAGCATCCTCTTTTACTCAAAATATTTATGCACATAAAGAGTTATAATAAAGGAATATATCTGAAACCAAGCAGATAATAAATCCCTGATTCAAAGCACTTTGATGTAGCTATAGTCAAAGAGACATCACTCAAGGCTCCTGCACACTGAATACTATTCCTGTCCATGTTTCCATTGTCAGATGGTCCTGTGGCTAAAGAAACCTGCCTATGGACCTGATTCCTGAAATGAGCTCACAGTTTGGTTATGGCATACTGTGAGACAAATGCCTGCAAAACACCACTGCTAACAAACATCTGATTTTAAAGCAATACATAAAAGAAAGAAAAAGAAAAAGCTTGGATATAGAAGGAACATTAATAGTATGTGGAAGCCACTCTAGGAGGCTAGTAAACCAAGATGTAGTCCTTGCTCCATAAAAACTTGCCCTCTTATAAATCAAGCTGGCTTTCCTAAACTTTCCCCTAGTAGCCCTTTAAATACCCCCTCTGGCCTTACCCCGTCCTGCTCAGTGGTTAGAGTGTCGGCTCGAGGGCTGAAGGGTCCCAGGTTTGATTCTGGCCAAGGGCACAGACCTCAGTTGCAGGCTAGATCCCCGGGCTCGTGCAGGAGGCAACCAATCGATGTGTCTTTCTCACATTGCTGTTTCTCTCTCTCTCTCTCCCTTCCACTCTCTCTCAAAAGCAATGGAAAAAATATTCTCAGGCGAGGATTTAAAAAATAAATAAGTAAATAAATCCCCCCTTCCTTCTTTTTGGTAGCTGTTTTTTCCAACTCCTCTCCACCTCTCCTCTTATCTAGGAGTTATTTGTAAGCACAATTTTTTAAACAATTTATATTGTACAAGATTCATATTTTGCTTTTTAACAAGGATACTTATGTAGTAAATTCTGCCTTAGGCAGATGCTGGCCAGAAAAATCCAGATTCCTCTGGGACCCCACCTTGGCCTCTCCCGGACTTGGAACCTGTTGTGGAAGGAATTGGCTATGACCTTCACCCCTGGAGAGTAGGGTCTGTTGCTAGGGAAAAGGGTGTTTTGGTTCTGACAGGAGAAGGGTTCACCATGATCACCTAGTGCCTCTATGGAGGGGTCTGGAAGAAGTATTCCAGTCTGATTTCTTCCTTAGCTGATTCTCCCCATATGCACCTCTCTAGCTCTGAATATTTGGCACCAGAGCTCCTGAAACACCACTTCTCCTCATACACCTCCCTCCCTCCCAGTGGTCAAGGCTTTGGAGCCCCCCTTTCCTAACACCAAAATTATTTAAAGAGAAAAATACAAGACAAAAACCTATTAGCACTTTGTAAACACAGTGAATAACCTCTTGGAATATTTTTGGCTTTATATAAAACAAGGTTTTTAATTGTAAAATAGAAGTGCCATTGGAAAATGCACAGGGTGTAATTCTGTTAAAGTAAATTTTTCAATGTTTTACAGAATTACATTTTCCAAAAAAATTTTTTATAATGAAGTTGTTTATTAAAAACTTGTGAATGATGAAAAAATTAAGCTGGCTTCTTTTTCACTGTTTTTAGAGAGAGGAAGGGAAAAAGGAAAGTAGGTGGAAGGGG